TTGACACTAATGCACTGACAGATTCTAAATATTTTGAGAAGAAATGTTAAAAGTTTTTAGCTTGACAAGTTTCTATAGAAAGATTACTGTTTTATTTTCTCCTTGCACCATTGGTTGTGTTTATCACTTTACGTTTGCATGTTCTACTTGTCATGGCTGGAATTACTGTACAAAATATGATTGTGATTTCTAGTTCTTTTGTAGAGGACGCTGCTAGATGATGATTTTGCTTTGCATTGGATAGTTTGCTGTTCTTGGGGGTAATGTGTTTCTGATCCTGCTTCCAGGTTTTGCAGTATTCACAAAGTTCCCTTTGCATGTTGCACTCTTGTTTTCATTTGGGAGATTGAATTCTGAATTAACACAGTATTCATTCATCTGTGTTGCTTTGTAAAAATGTGTTTGTTTGTACATACTAATGTGAAAACGCATCCTTACCCTTCCCCACACCTCCATCCTGGGGCTTGAACTCGGCCTGGGAACGGTCCCTGAGCTGTTTTTGCTCAAGACTAGGGCTCTATCTCTTGAGCCACAGCTCCACTTCCAGCTTTTTTTGTTTGTTGTTGTTTGTAATTTATTATAGATAAGAGTCTCACTGACTTTCCTGCCTGGGCTGGCTTTAAACTGTGGATCCTCAGATCTCAGCCTCCTGAGTAGCTAGGATTACAGGTGTGAGCTACTGGTGCCTGGCTCCTACCCTTTTTTTTTTTTTTGAAATATGTTGAGATACCTTCTGATCAGGTATGCTATGCAATAATATACTAGTATTTTTCTTTGCATGGCCTGAATAATATGTTCAAAAATAGATGTGATGGCTCTTTTCATTCTTTTAAATAACAGATTCTGTAAATGCAAATATAATTCACTTGAATTTGACAAACTAAAACTTTTAAGTTTTTCTGGATTCTCTGATAACCTGTATGGATGTTTGGATGTCAGCAATGCTCTGAGCTCTCCACTGTACTGTAATAATGGTTATTTACCTCTGTGCTGTTTTAATTCCCTAATGGTCTGTGTAACTGCTGATATGAATATTGATTAGCATTTAGATGTTTTGTAACAGAATTTTAGAGAGCACTTTGAAAGATGGCATTTTTTTATGATGGTGCTAGGTAAAAATTTGGGATGGTTGTGTGGCAAAGAAAAACTCTGATGGAGACCTTGTGGAGAGGAATTTCTCTTTTGCCACCATCGAAGCTAGAACAAGCAGTTGTTGAGGGCGCTGCCTGCTGAAGCCAGTTTTTTTTGCTAATACACATGGTTAAATTATGGCATTAGACGTGTAGAGGGTCCTCTTTAGGCCACACTTTTTCTTTTAGATGTAGGAGAGCTTGCTTGACAACTTTTACTATGGAAATCACATTTTGATATAGATAGCAGATTTAAAAGTTTGACCTAAATTTTATCTCAGGAGTCCGAAAGAAATTGCTTTTCCACTGTCCTTCATTTTCTTGCTTGAGTTGGATCTGTTTCTGGAAGTGTTTAAAAATTTGATAAGAAAGTATACTGCTCTTTACTGTCACTGTGTTGGACCTTAAAGAACTGAATAGCTGGCTCTGGAGGGAGGCACAGACTTGCTTTTTTGGGGTCTAGCCAGAATGGTGGAAGCAGTGCTCAGAGAACTCCAGCAGGTGGAACTTTCTGCAGCGAAAGAAAGAACATTGACATGTGGGAGATGTCACATCATCAATCATTACATGAAGGTCAGATTTGTTTTCTGTTTTTCAATTTAGCCTTATGCTGAGGTCAGACTAGGGCCAAACAAGCTTTTGTCCTCCTTCATAGTAGCTATGTCACTGTGTGTTGACATCTTCCCAGAGAAAAAAGGCAAAAGGGGAATACTGAGGATCATTATTTAGATTTGAAATTAATATTATCAGATAACATTTTGAAGAATAAATATTTAACCAAAGCTTACTTGTTTTAGTTAGGTGCTTTTGCTGAACTTCTGTCCAGCTCTTTTCTTTTAGCTTTAGATCTCTTCAGGTTTGTTTCCTGTCAAGTCTGTCTGCAGTCCTTGCCCATGTGCTCCTTGGCAGCAGGATACTGGCAGCTGAGTTGTCCTCACGATGCTTCCCGACCACTTACACGTCCATTGTTCACGGCCGACCTGAGCTCAGACCCTGCCTCCATCTGACAGGAGTAGGTTTCCTCAGATCACCATGCAGATTCAGCCTATTTGATGCAAACTCTTGGTTGCAGTGTGTTGTTTCCTTTGTGACTCGAGGGTGAATTAAAAATGCCTGTGAACTGCAAACTTGCGTCTGATTGACTTGGTGCAATAAAGTTCCTTTCTAAACATTTCTGGTTTAGAAAATACTCAGCCATCCTAGATACTAGCAATATTTATTTTTGCCTCATTTGTTTTACCTTCAGTCTTTCACTTATGGGTACTAAGCAAGGTCCATCCTAGTGTATAGCTGGAGAAAATGCAGATCTGGCTACACTATTTCTGTTTACTGTGTTTTGCTATTTTATGTCTCAATCCTGTTTTAAAAATCTTAATAATGCCTCACTTCCAGTATGTCAGTTTCAAAGTTTTATTTACTCCTACTGATTGGGACTTTTAAAAAAGATATCCCCTTCTCTCCCCATGCATTTTTAGGAAGATCTTTTTCGGGGTGGGTGCATGTCTTAATGCTGGGAGGCAGCAATTTTGGGGTTGAATTTACTTGAATGGATTAAAATTGCATTGTTACAGAGCTAGAAAAAATTTATGTATGAAAAATACTAGCCTTACACTGAGTACAAATACTTATAAGCATGTGAAGATGTGATCATTTGTGATGTTACTTGTAAAAAAATATACATATCTTTTGAAGTGTTTAAAGAAATAGTACTTTATATTCTTTATCATATCACTTTTTGTAAGTGTTGAATATATTCCTGTTTATTTTTCTATGTTCTGTTTTGTAGCCTTAAGAAGTGTTTTGAACATATTCTGAATGTATAAAATGAGTAAATGCCCTACATGGTGTGATGCTGCATTCTATATAAAACTGTGTGTATATTAAATTTTGTCTGCTGATTCTGCTTCTGATTCTTTCGTCCCAGGGTAACCAAAATACAGCATGTAAATTTGTTTTTTTCCCCTGTCCTGGGACTTAAACTCTGAGCCTGGGCACTCTCCTTGAGTTCTTTAACTCAAGGCAAGCCTTGCTCTACCACTTACTTTATCCACAACACCACTTCAGACATTTTCTGAGTAGTTTCTTGGAGTCTCATGGACTTCCCTGCCCTCGTTAGCTTTGAACCACAATCTGCAAATCTCAGCCTCCAAGTAACTAGGATTACAGGCATGAGCCACCCACACCCAGCTAGGTCAGTATGTAAATCTTAATCAGTACACTTCTAAGATGAAGAAATGGTATTTTTCCATCTGTAAGAGAACGTAAGTATAATTAAAACTGAATTTTATAGCCTATTCTCACACACATGCATACAGATGAAACTCAGACTAAGTTCCTAAGGTCCTGTCACTAAGTGGTAGAATTTGGACTTGACTTGAACCTTGTTCTGAGTGGTATTACAGATAAAACTTCCTACATAATTTTCAGCTGCTTTCAGAAGAATGAGGATGCATACACGACGTTTTAAAATCAAGGTTTTGGTCCTGCATTTTCGTTTAACACTAGAGCTCTACTTGTTTTGGTGATCAAATTTGAGAGTGGAGCCTGGTTTTGAACCCACTCGGACGGATCTCAGCCCCTATAATAGCTGATCCCAGTGTGAACTGAAGCCTATGTCACATCTTAAGCCACCAGAGATATTGTCAAATGAATGCCTTAACACAATAGGAACTTTCAGGAAGCAGAATCAAAAAGCTTGGTGGAAAACTGGTTTTGGCACGGGGTGGTGGATAAGCCACAAGGCCAAGCTGCTGTCCTCTTGAGACTTAAGTGAAGCATCTCAACCATGGGGCACAGGGGGAAATAGAGGAAAAGGGATTAAAACAAATCTGGCTGAGCTAGTGTTTACCAAGCTAAAGGAAGGGAAGTCAAGGGACTTTACCAAGCTAAAGGAAGGGAAGTCAAGGGACTTTACTGGTTACAGCCCTTACAGAATTGGTCATTCCACAAGTGGATAGATAAAAGATGAGCTAGCACTCCTCATGGGGTGCCTGAAAAGGTCAAGCACTGAGGATGTAAATAATAGCAAGTTGATAATGGGTTTTCCTCTATAGCCCTGTGCCATCTTAATGTACAGGCTCTTATGAAAGGCCTATACCAGACACTTAGTTTAGGCTGAGTGTTGTAAGAGGAACTGCAGATGCTATGTATATGCAGATGCTACGTATACATGTAGAGCTTTTTAGGTAGATCCTATGGGCTTCCAACGTTTACCAATCCTCCCATTCAACTGACGGTATCACAAACTTAAGGCAAGTGGAGAAACAGGTACTTGACAACAATTCACAAGAATATGTTAAGTGACTACTGGCAGGTATGCAGTGTTTGGTTTCAGAAGTAGCATCTGTATCCCTGGCAAGTTTCAAGATGGTTCTACATCACTTTTTTTTTTGTGGCCATTCCTGGGGCTTGAACTCAGGGCCTGCCTGGGCTGTCCTTGAACCACTTTTGCTCAAAGCTAGCACTCTACCACTTCAGCCACAGCGCCACTTTTGGCTTTTATTGTTTCTACAGTACTAAGAAATTGAACCCAGGGCTTCATGTATGCTAGGCAAGCTCACTACCACTAAGCTACATTCCCAGCTTATCCAGGAATATATGAATGTATCTGGTCAACATGTCTTTACTGCAACATGTATAAATTTTCCTTATGGTTAAAACATCCTGTCATCAATAGACCTGTGACTTTATGGAATAGAAGTGTGACTTTAAGCAGTGAAACTATTCAATATCTGAAATAATTTAACTTGTCCTTAAAAATAGGAATTACCTCAGTGTAACCTTATTATGTACAAAACAAACTACTTACACCTAGGTATGTGCACTAGAACAAAGGATGAAATAAATACTGGTAATCTGAGAGGGTAGGAATAAGGGAGATCATATTTTATTCCATATACTTCTGTATATATGCATTTTCACAACAAACATTTGTAGATTACTCACATAACTTTATTTTTCGTTCTACTGGGTCAAGATAAACCAAACTTTCTATCCCTTGTTTGCATGATCAAGGTTTAAGATCTAAAAATCTTGTCAAATCTCCAATTTTTCTACTTTGCCTGGACCATTAAACTTATATAGTAAGGTAAACCCTCTTGCTCATTCATAGGTTAATTGCAATTCAGTGCATTAGTAAGGTTTAATGTCTTCTGTATGCAAATTTAGAAATGAGTATGTTTGGTACACAAAAAGGGTACTTTGCATTGCTTTCCTGTATTAATGTTGCTACAGGGCAGGTGGTTTACAGTCCTTGGCTGTCCCTCAGATAACTAGTCTAAAAATACAGATAATAGGCACCAGCTTAGGGGACTGTTAGTCTATAATTTTAAGGGAAACAAATATTCTTTAGAAATAATTTCTCCTACATCTTGATCAGTGATTATATACATGTTTTAAAAAAATGACTGAAAATAATTATAGAATCTTACAGAATGCAAAAACTGAAAAGTTAGGGTTCCCCCTACCCAGTGGAGGAGGTGCTGAAATATTTTCTCATGAAGATGTTTGAAAGCACCAAAAAACATTGAAAGCAATGTATAAGTTGGTAACAAATACCATTTTCTAATAATGGTGTTACTTGTAGTAGACAATCTTCCTGGGAAATCACACACTGATAGCGTAGTGCAAAGACTGCATACAAATAACAAATATAATTGTGATGTTTATTTATCAAATGTTACCAGTGTAGTCTTTGACCAGCTTTGAAAATAGGGCAGGTTCCATTATACTGGTGTACTTGGCAACCAGGTAAGAATAGAAATCTTTTTCAAGATTTTTTAAATGTGGCAACACCAGTCAGTGTGTGGTACACAAATATAATACACCTACTGAAAATATTGCCATATATCATGAAAACCTGGAGGTAATTTGTATAGTCTTCATTTTAGCGTATTACACACAAAAGGGCCTTATCATTAAGAACAGAAAAGAGCCATTTTCTGTGTACAATTTACAGTCTAACTGGCTTTTGATGTTAGGTAAATCATACTTCAAAGCTCCAGAGTATGTGGGGCCATAAAACCTGATTAAAGTTTTATACAACAAAAATCCCAGAAAATGTTCTTTTAATAAATGGCTTATCGATATTCTCAGATTCAGTTTAATCATCCAAGAAAAAGTAGTTTCCACTCTTCTTCTGTTCTACATCCTGAAAGATAAAATAGAGAAGCAGCAAAAATCAGTAACAGCATGCCTCTTACATGCAGAGGTAGAATTTCATCCAAGAAATCACTCCTGTCTGTAACAATGTCTGCAGCCTCATCTATGCCTCTACTCTAGGGCTCACTATTCAAAAGCAAGATCACTGCTCTTATTAACTAGAATATTTTACCCCTAATACTAGTAATTCAAGCAAGTCCTAAGATGCTTAGATACATAAAAAAGAATTCTTAATCTTTTTTCTCATTATGCCTCTCATTATGCTCCAATTTTATGATAGGACTTGTCATTTCTTTATGCTGGCTATGAAGAGTAGGTGAAGGGACCTAGAATTGTGTTAGGTGCTCAATACATTTATGTGCAAGAGAACTTTGCTAAAGGCTGTCTAAGCCCTCATGGTATAGAAGCAATGTGAGGACTACCAATAAAACAAATGCTGTAGTAGAGAAATACATAACACATTCTTAAATTTCAGTATGACAGTTGACTTTTGGCATCTAAACAATGCCACATTTCGCTGACAAACAATTGCAAGAGAAAATATTTTAGTTCTACAGACAGAAAAAAAAATCAATACTGATTAACCTGGTTTACCTGTTTAAAGTTTTATGCTCATTGAAGGATTTAATCATGTCTAGAAAAAAAATAATTTTCTTAAAACTATGTAAAAAAAGTCCCTCACACTATTTTTGTTGTTGTTGGAATTGAACTTGAACTCTGGGCCTGGGTGCTGTCCCTCTCAGCTCTTCAGCTTGAGGCTAGTACTACTTGAGCCATAGCGCCACTTCTGGTTTTCTGATTGTTTACTGGAGATAAGTCTCAAGGACTTTCCTGCCTGGGCTGACTTCAAACCGTGATCCTCAGATCTCAGCCTCCTGAGTAGCTAGGATTACAGGTATGAGCCACCAGTGTCCAGCTTAAATTGTGTTTTAATTGTGAATTCGTATAGCTTTCATGTCAATTCACATGGTTCAACAGACGCAATTCAGAGACAGGAGCTGGGCCCGAGTCCATGCACAAACAAAAAACATCCCAGCAGGTGCTGCTGTCCTGAGGGCCTGAAGGATGCCATCAGTGACAAATGTGACAAAAGCCCTTGAATCCTGGGTATCACAATTTACACTGGCAGAAGTTACCTGTGACTTTAAGACAGTTTTCCCACATACCTTAATTGAATTTAGTTTATTTATTCGTGGTCTATAGTTGTTTGGGTCTCTTCTGAAGGTAATTTCCAGCTGAGATAAAAACTTGTTCATACCAGCCAAAAGTGTTTGAGGACTGAGAGGAGAAAATAAAAATCAAACTTGATAAAATTTTAATCTCTTGCAATGAAAACTACTAACATTGCTGTCTCTAATCCTAATCATGATGTATTAGCTTGTCAGGGGTGATATTTTTATGGAAAATAAACCTAACCTGTATAATATACTAAGAAACAACTGAAGTATTTATTTTTGGCAGTTCTCAAAGCCCATTTCCTCTAAGACACACATCTAGCCCTATAAGCAGTACTTTCAAAAACAAAGATCACTACAGGAAGGATATTTTCATAATCTCAAACTGACACTTAGTGGAGAAGGAATTTAAAAAAAGCTATGTTGAGATTTACAGGGGAGGAAATAGTACCAGAACCATACTCCAGCCTTTAGTCAGTTTTTGAACAGTATCTAGCTTGTATCTGGGACAGCCTGTACCCTTTTCTTATTTAAGCTTCCTATGTAGATGGGTTGACAGACATGTGCCACCATATGCAGCCTTTGTTAGAGATGGATCTTGTGAACTTATTGCCTCGGCTGGTTTTGAATCATGATCCTTCTGATCTCTGCCTCTCAAGTAGCTTGGATTACAAGTCAGTGAGCCAGTGTGCTTTGCTTCAATCTAGTCATTACACCAACTTATTACGGAGGTGGACCATTTTAAGTACTATTCCACATACACACAGATTCTATGGGTAAGCAAATTTTATATATAAGAAATTTCTTCTTTAAAAAACACTAATTCTCAATAATATGAAAGTTGAAGTTGAAAACAAAAATATTCTGGGAAACAGTACTTTTTGGGAGAATATTCAAATAGCGACTTCCATTCCTCCCTAATACCAGAAAACATTATGCTGCAACATGAAAATGCTTTTCTTTTTTTGAGGGGTGGTATACTAGGGTTTGAACTCAAGTCTTCAAGCTTGTTAGGCACAAAGTCTACTACCTCCTCCTGCCTTTCTTGGCGCTGGTTATTATTGCTCTATCTAGCTTTTTGCCTGGATCCTCCTGTTATGCTTCCTGCCATAGGCAGGATGGTAGGTGTGTGCCATGTCCACCTTCTGTTAAGATGGAGTTTGGTGAATTTTTTACCCATGCTGGTCTAGAACTACAATCTTCCTGATCTCAGCCTCACATGAATGACGGCCATGTGCCCTAAGCCCAGCTATTGACTGTGTTGGTCTTGCAAACATTATTTTTTTGCCACCTAGGCTGGCCTTGAACTATGACTCTCCCGGGACCTTAGGCTCACTGGAGGATAAGACTCCAGGTGTTGGCCACCACACTTGAAACTGCCATCTTATGCGTCAAAGATCAATAATTTTGTCAGGATCAACTAATACACGTCTGGCGCAGTGGTAATGAAATTCCTCATGAACTGATTCACGTTAGGGTTCTGTGCAAGCGCTCCTCCAGCTGGTTAACAGAGAGGAGGGGATGGCAAAACCACTCATTTTACCTGTAGTACATTAGTATGGGGTACTTGGGATCTACTGTGAGCTCAACCACTTGAGTATTACCTGCCTGGATCTCTTTTCTGATATGTACCAAAACTGAATTTGTAAGGGATGATTTACAAAATGGGAAATCTTTTTTTTGAAAACCAGATTTGACAAAAGCTGAAAAAAAGAGGGGTGGCCTAACAATTCTATTTCATAGTGAAAACTCTTCTACAATGTGCCACTGGGTCAATCGCTAATCTTGGGAGACACAAACTAAGATAGTAAGTTTCTGGTTGGGTCATTAAATTAAAAAGATACATATATACACTGCTCATGACTATGTTTACTAGTGGACTGTAAATTAAAGTGCAGTAACAGTTTTACCTGTTTGCCACTGTGTTCTTAGATGGCACACCATCAAACACGATGACCCGATCTGCTAGATAGGTGGCCATGATGAAGTCGTGCTCCACAACAAAGGCTGTCTTCTTCGCATGGAGAATGAAGCTAGAACACAAGTTTGACAATCTCTATTCCTCGCATCACAAGACATTCGAATGTTATATTGAAAACAAATGTATGCCCCTTTATGCACCCTAAGGTAAGGCAATTATGAGCAAGATATTTACCGTTTGACAACCCGAGCTGCCATCAATCTCTGCTCAGAGTCCAAATACGCAGATGGTTCATCAATCAAATAAACATCAGCAGGTTTGCCCAAACAAAGAGCTAAAGCTACTCGCTGCAGTTCACCACCAGATAAGGTCTGCACCTAATTCAAGACATTTGTCAAAAACACTTAAAAATAACCAAATTCTAAAATGCTGAGATAGAAGAAATAATGAAAATGAATTCTGCCAGCGTACCTCCTGATCAATGATGTTTTCAATCTGCAGGGGCTTCATCACGTCAGTCACAAATTGTGGGTGAGTGTATGCGTCTCTTATCTTTTCATGTAGTAACTGGCGAACACTTCCCTGGTTTTCATGGAAAAAGTATTTAAATGATAGTCAGCAGAATACTCTCTACTAATGAACCTTATTACTAAAGCTAGAATATAGAACAAAAAACTCTCAATATGTAGCTAACAGACACCAATTTGACTTTTAATGCTTACCCATCATTTATGGCGTGTTTTGAGATTGTTCTATTACGTCTAGCAAGGAAAAAGGTAGCAATAATTCTAAAACTATAAAATATTTAATAAGCAATGCCAGGTACGGTGGTTTGTGTTCATAGCTTGAGCACTAGGTATACACTATGAGGTACATAGCAAGTTGCAGGACAGCCTGAGCTTCAAGCCAGACATCCTTTCAAAAGTCACACAATGTTTGCAGGAATGGCTCATGCCTGTAATACTAGCTCCTCAAGAGGCTGAGATTTGAAGGATCTCATATTGGGCCAGCCCAAGCAAAAAACTTGCTAGACTTTGTCTAAAGTAAGCCGTGAAAGAACAGTTTGGGGGCGTGATACAAGTGGCAGAGCACCAACTGATTAAGCTCAAGATTCTGAGTTCAAATACCAATACTGTTTCTCACCCCGCAAGAAGAATTTCCCTTCCTCTATCTAGTACAAAGATTCATAGTGCAAAATTCACATATTAACAACCTTGTTTCCAGGAACCTAGGGAAAAATTGGGCATTATGTACAGTTTTTGGGAAATGAATCATTAGCTTCTGCTTGATGCTCACATGGGAATCTGCTGTTTGGAAGGAAGGGAGAACTTAAAAGATAACTTATTGCAAGATAAACCATTCCAAGTAAATATAATGTAGTTATTGTTGAGGTATTGAACACACACACACACACACACACACACACACACACACACACACACACACACACACGCGCGCGCGCGCTCATTAAAACACCTACAGAAATCAAAGGAAGTTAATTTTAGGAGGACAATTTCATGTTTTATCCACACTGCTACTTATCAGTATTTATTTCTTTATGGCTGAAAAACTTTACATTCTATGGATCTATGACAGCTGATGGACAATTGGTGTCAAGTTTTGTCAAGTTATGTGCTCATTGTTTTGGAATGTATAGCTATGAGCAGAACTTCTATTCTGCAGAATGGCCAGTTTGTTTTCAAAGGTGCTCTACAGCATTTCACATTTCCAGAAACGTAAGGTTCCAGGTTCTTCATGTCATCAACACTTGTTACTGTCTTGGAGTTTCATCATCATAGTGGGGTATGAAGTACTATCTCATTGGTTTTGATGTGTATTTCCCTAATAACTAATGATTCTCATCATTGTGCTTATTGTCTATCTGTATTTCTTTTTTGGAGGGGAGGATCCTCATATTTGGTATTTAAGGATTCACTCTGGAAAAAGATGACAAATATTTTAAAAGTATTCTCCAAGGAGGAAGTGGTGGTGCCTATAATTCTAGCAAATGAGGAAGTCAACAAGACCAACTTGGGCTACACAGTGAATTCTAAGCCAGCCTGAGACTGTAAAAATTTTTATTTGGAAGAGTATAATACAGTAAATTGGTGGGAGAATGAATTTAGGTGCACTTCAGTCCTTAATGTGTGTGGGTGTATATACACACATACATATAATACATAACTAAATAAATCAACAACTTACAGTTGATTTGGGACTAATCTTCTGTGGCTTGTAACTGACATTGAGAACCGGCACTTCTCCTACAATACAATACAGGTCCGTAAGACACAAAATTGCCCAGAGTTTATTTTAAAGTTCCAGTCTGTGGAACAGAATAAAAGGATGACAGTACCTCCTTCATCAGGTTTAAGTCTTCCAGCAAGCATTCTGATAAATGTCGTCTTACCAGTACCTGGAAACAAAACAAACTGATCAGAAAGATGTTTCATATCCAAAGTAAAGCATGATGTTCCACTTGTATGTAACTGAAACTAAGAAATTCTCAAGATTTTATAGAAAACTAAATCTCTGTATCAAACTTATTAGGAGGAATAAGGCTTTTGTTTGATTTCTTTGGGGGTGTGTGTGTGGGGATAGGGACTGTACCAAGGCTTGAAAACAGAGCTTCATATCAGCTCAGTTTTCTTGCTTGCATCTGCAACTCTACCATGAGCCACATTCCAGCATACTTTGTTGGTTAAGAGTCTTGCGCTTTTCTGCGGCATGCGGTTTTCTTTGAACCAAGCTCCTCCAAATCTGAGCCTCCCAAGTAGGTAGGAATCAGCATAGCCTGGTCTTGTCCAATCTTATCATGACCATTTGACAGTAAGAACAAAGTTTATAGTTTGCCTTATGATAGTTTTACTTAGCTGCATTATCAAACTTCACAATTTATTAGAGTAGTACAATCTTATTTTGTTGCATGCACACTATTAACATTTATTCACATATAATAGCTAAACTGCACATTTAAAATTCTGATTCAGTATAGCAAATCATGTGTAAAAGTTTCCTTTCAGTTTTGTAAGCTGAACAATTATAATACAATTTTTTTTAAATCATAAAGCAACACCTGATATATAGCAGTCCAATTCACATTACAGTTTAGTTATGACCACAGTATGAAAAGTGTTGGTATTGCTGAGCACCAGTGTTCATTCTACCTGTAGCCCTACTAACTCAGGACGATCATGTTTGAAGCCAGCCCGGCCAGGGTAAGACCAAGGCAGTCTTATCTCCAATTAACTATCAAAATGTCTAAAGTGAAGCTATAGCTCAAGTGGTAGAGTGTTAACTATGAGCACAAAACCTCAGGGATATTACCCAGGTGCTGAGTTTAAGCCCTAGGACCAGCTCCAAGAAAAAAAGTTGGTATTGTGTTTACAGACAGAGTAGGTTCCAAATATATGTGTACAATAGAAGTACCTTGTAAACACATAGGCTAACCTCTAACTTAGTCAGTGTTTACCACGGAATAGGTGAAATAACTGGAGGAACAGAACCAATGTTATGTGATCAAAACTTACCATTTTCCCCCAGCATCACCATGATTTCAGAATCCGTGAACTCTCCAGCCACAATTGCTAGCTCAAATTCTCCCATCTTTTTCTTCATCCCTGGATATTTATACATACACATCTTCTTAACTTCTTCTTCATTGGCTGTCTCAGCCACTTTGAAAACAAGTGATGCATCTCGAAACCTCAAGTTTTCTGTTGGAACATAGCCATCCAGAAAAATGTTTATACCTGTTGAGAAGAAAATTGCCATGATGTTAGCAAAGATAACTTAAAGACTAGTTCCTGGGAACAATCTAGATACAGATTTTAAATTTCTATGGACTTTTTGATAATCTTCAGATCTATGTATGGTTTTTTTATGTTTAAGCAATGTAAGCTTAATATTAAGTTTAAGAAGTTTACATACATCTCTGTATATACCTAAAAGAACCTCAACTCACACACTCATATGAGTCACTTAATTAGGTAACTTAAGATTACTTACTACTTGTTTATACCAAATTTTATGCAAAAAACCCCAGCACAAATGTAATTTTTGCTATATTGCTTACATAAGAACTCATTTTTCCTTAAATGAATACCATGTAAGAATACAGTTATTTTCACAAACTTATTTAACACTAAAATAGTTTGGGAGTAATTTTTTAAACACTATTAAGTATTCAACTGTATATAGAAGATAACAATGAATTTCACTGTATTTTTTCAGATTCATTTTGTAGTTTCACAAGAAAATGAGGTAACTTTTTTTGCTTAAAGATATATTCATGATTATTTTGAAAGATTATAATAAATAACAGTGAAATATCATTATAGGTGAAAATTTCCTCCTTACTAAACTTGTAAGATCAACAATTGCAGGCATACAGAAGAGAAAAAGCGAATTTACTCAGAAATAAAGAAAGATCTGTTTTTCAGTGTTTCCTATATAACGGTGAAGAAAAAGATAGTAGTTTTAGTTTGGAAAGTCTTGAAAAGATGTTCTTTCATGTTGGCATTCAGAACTACAGTAGGGGGCTTGTGTCTTCAAAACAGCTGACACAACAAACAAAACTAACATTTTTACCTTAATTATTAATGTAAAGTTAAAAGTGAAGAAATTATAGTGATTTAGTCTAAGTGCTCAATCTATGAATTAAGGGAATACGCAGTAAGACAGGAGCAGCCAAGGGACAAAAAGAAAGGCAAAGCAAAGATATGCAAGGTGTGGAATATACTATCTGTTTCAGGGCCCTCACTGGCCTCTAGTTTCTACTCTTTGTTAATCTGCACAGGCAAGAAAACAAAGGAAGAAATCAGGAAGTCCCACTTTTCTGAAAAAGAGGAAGTAAATATAAGCTTTAGTATACTTTTTAAACCATCTAGACTTTTTTCTTATTTTTGGTTGGTCGTGGGGCCTGAACTCAGGGCCTGAGCGCTGTCCCTCAGCTCTTCAGCTCAAGGCTAGTGCTCTACCACTTGATCCACAGCACCACTTCTGGCTTTTTCTGCTTCTGTGGGGCTGAGGAATCGAACCCAGGGCTTCAAGCATGCTAGGTAAGCACTCTACCACTGAGCCATCTTCTCAGGCCTAGACATTTTTCTGCCATGAATTTATGGTAGATTGGAGATAAATTTGAAATGTGAAAATAATATGAGCACTGAATGCATTTTAAGAGTTTGTTAAAGTGCTGGTCTGTCAAAGCCAAATTTCAAGATAACAAATACCATAGAAGCCAAAATATACAATATTTACAACATAGCAAAAACAGGGAAATTTGTTTTATTCGGTTGATTGAGGGGCTTGAACTCTGGGCCTAGGCGGTGTCCCTCAACTCTTCAGCTCAAGGCTAGTGCTCTATCACTTGAGCCACAGCGCCACTTCCAGTTTTCTGGAATTGCACTCGCTGGCTTTGAACTGCTATCCTCAGATCTCAGCCTCCTGAGCAGGTAGGATTACAGACATGAGCCACCAGTGTCGGGCTGGGAAATTATTACACACACCCAATGGAAAATGCTTCAAAAAAGGAAATACTTTTTCTAGAGCAACTGATATATATCATCTTTAAAATGTATTATTAAATATATTAAATTTCCCCAGAGATTAATTCCAAGAAATCACTCCTTTGCATAAATATTAGAGCAAGATAAAATGACTTCATGAGAACACTTTTTCTAAGCATTGGAATAAAGGAGAATACAGCATATGGCTAAAATAGTTTTTTCAGTTACCTTCTCTTACACTGAAAGGCATGGTTACAACACCATAAGCACTTGGCACACCATACAAACAGCAGATGAAGTCAGAGAGATAGTCTAACACACTGAGGTCATGCTCCACCACAATGATGTATCTGAAAATCAAAAGACTGTCACTTTTAAATTTAACATGACATGTATAATTAGCTAAATCTTTCATATACCTATTTCTTAACAACTACATCAATTCTAAATTTTAGGAAGTTTTATTTTTAAAAACTTAAAAGTATAAGAAATCATTAATACTAAGAAAGACTTTAAGGGGAGCTGGAAAGGTGGCTCAGTGGTAGAGTGCTTGCCTCGCATGCATGAGGCCTTGGGTTCGATTCCTCAGCAACAAATAAGCAGAAAAGGCTGAAGTGGTGCTGTGGCTCAAGTGGTAGGGTGTTAGCTGAAGAGCTGAGGGACAGCGCCCAGGCCGAGTTCAGCCCCATGACCAAGGGGAAAAAAAAAAGAATGAAAAGATTTTAAGGCTCATTAATGGTATTTATTCATTTTTATCAATTAAATTACCAGCTAACATAAAAATTTACATATGAAATGTAAATGTTACAAAGTGTAACAATTTACACTGCATTCAGATGGATTTTCTGCTACTCAAGGTATGCATTTAGCCCTCTCATTTTCCTGCCTTGTGCAAGCTTGTAGTAGGAGATGCCTAAAGAACAGAATTCTTTACCCAAGAACCTTGAATTTACAAGGCAAGATGGGAGCTATCAAATAGTATCAGCAACAAAAGACAATATGGCAAAATATGTTCTTCACATGAGACCTAGTGAAGGTCAGAAGCAGGTCAGTGTGTACCAAAACACTTTTTGAACCAGGTAGGCTAGTGTGAGTTAAGTGATAAAGTACTGATAGCACAAAAGCTACTTAAGGAACTAGTACTTTATTACTACTTCAAATCAGTTGAAGTTATTTCGATACTGAGTCCAAATCTTTAATAAAGCAGTCACTTCCACAAAAAATGACTGGCTTATCTTCCTTAATTATATTGTTAACTCTGAATATATCAGTTTCAACCTTTTCATCTCTCCTGAGTTCTAGTTCAGGCTCTCCTATTTAAAACTTTTGCTAGTCCTGACATATCTAGGTTCTCTGATGTGTATCTCAATTACACAAGAAACATGGCCTTCCAAGACTTTCCTTAAATTTAGCTATTACTTTGTTTATATATAGGGAATACGAGCTTTTTTAAACTTTCCCTCCAGCAGTGCTGAGTATCAAACCGAGGGCCTTGAGGATGTATTCTACCAACTTACAATAACTAGATTTTTTTCCCTCTTGTTTTTCATGTTTCATATGCTGTATGGGCTACTCTTCTTCCTAAACAGTCTCGTGCCAAGATCTTTTTTTTTTTTTTTCAGGTAAGGAGTAGGTTTATTCATTGTTCCAGCTGGCACCAGGCCATCTTGGTCCTCTACGTGGTGGGGAAAGGCCTGGGAAAAAGAGCTGGTAAAGAGAAGAGAAGGAAAGAGCTGAGAAAGAGCAAGAAGAGAGCAGGGAGCAGAGAGAGAGAGAGAGAGAGCTAGAAAGATAAGGGAGCTGGTAAAGAGAAGAGAAGGAAAGAGCTGAGAAAGAGCAAGAAGAGAGCAGAGAGAGAGCTAGAAAAGAGAAGAGCTGGGAAAGAGAAGAAAAGGAAAGAGCTAGAAAAGAGCAGAGAGAGCAGAGAGAGCATCTGGGCCTGGGCTAGGCCTTATCTAGGGCATGGGCGGAGAAAGGTGTGGCTACATCAAATTCAGATGTGACCGCGGCAGATGCAGATGTGACCTCTTCCAGGTGTCCCAGTTGCCTAGGTAATGCAGATACTGGGTGGAGACTTTGCTGCGAGGAGGGTGGAGTCCGCTCACCATCCAGGAGCAGACCTAACATTCCAGCCTTTTAATAATCCTGAAATAGGGCGCGGATTCTCTCTGGCTACTTCCTGCCAAGATCTTAAGCTGTGTATTTATACTCAAGTTTTATTCAAGGCCCATCTCACACGCTATCCACTTTAATACTTTTGTTGTTATGCAAATAGTTTCTTACTCTTGGACCTCTTTTGTAAATATGTGAAAGGATACTTGTCAATCCTTCTCTTTCTATCCCTGACAAATATTCATAAAGACAGAAGTCCAAAGTTTGATTGCAGTCTGCCACTATTTTGTGAGAATGTGGAACACAATTCTATAGCATAGTAAGAAATCTGTATTGTAAACAATTTACCCTCTACTATTAACATCAGGAAACCTTGTAAGGTTCAATTTGAACTCTAAAACCCTATCGTATTTCCTTTTTCTACTTCTCTACCTGCTGAGATGTTTATCTAATCATCTCCAAAATCCTGTGGCTCTTTTTCACCAATGTATCACTATATATGGATTAATCTATACGATCAGCTCATGTCGGAAAATGGGACAAACATGTAACATATTCTTATGTATCTGAGAATCTAATTTGTCTTGCCCTATTACAACTCTCTAAAGAGAGCTACTGTCATCTCTTTTATGGTATGACTTTCTCTCACTATTGCATTCATTCTGAGGTTGTTCCATACATCTCCCCCCCCACTAATTCTTCTGAAAGTCTTGTTTAGTTTTAAATTTATTCACTAAAAGTACATGATGTCTTATTTTCTCATGAGCTGCCTAAACATGTGCAAAAGGAAATAAAAGTCAGCTGTCTACAAATTGCTTTCCTTTATGCTTGGACTGGGCTCGGCTGCCACACTCTGATCTCTGCTTCCCAAGTAGCCCAGTGTAGAGAAAAATAAATTCTGGTAATAGCTCTAAGTAACAGAGATGAACAACATATATATGTTCACAACATCTAAATCTAAAAAAAAAAAAAGAAAAAAAGAAAATTTTAATACAGAAATACTCCAGAGCTATACTTACCTGTCTGGATTTATTAGTGATCGGATGGTAATGGCAGCCTTTAAACGTTGCTTGACATCTAGATAACTAGAAGGCTCATCGAACATGAAACTAAGAAAACAAACAGCAATTACTACATTGAGACACATCTGATATAATTGTGTCTTACGTGGTGTTTTAAAGCAGTGTAGCACCAATAGCTTCTGAGTTAACAAAGATCTCCTCAAATACTAATGAAGAGAGGCTATCTTTAGTGGTAGAATTTTCTACATTTTGTTCAGAAGTAGAAGAAAACAATTACAAAAAGGGAAATGGATAGACAGTTTGAGAACCTCTCAGATAAGGGTTACTTATAAATTGACTTAAAAAATTCTTTATCTCAAGTAGTTCAAAGAGCATTTCTCTTACAATGTATAAGACTTGAAAAGTAACCTACATATCAGCTTTCTGTATGCAAACAACAGCACAAGCAAATCTCTGCAACTCTCCTCCTGAGAGATCTTCAACATTTCGCTCTTTTAAGTGCGTTAAATCTAGAAAAAACAAGTAAGAGGCATTGCATTCAAACTCCACTTTACCTCTTCTGGCAAAATGTAGACTGAATGTCATCACCGAGTTTTACTTAGAAGTTGTGTACAACAACAATATATAACAATAGGAATTGCCCACTTATAATGTATATACAAAGATGTATGCTTTGTGGTTCCTAAGTATAGTCTATTAAAACATATGTACATTGTTCAAGACACACCGTACTTATAATCTAACTTGTTGAACTGAAATGCCTTTTTGTACATCTTGAAAACAAACAAAAAACCCAGAAAACACAACACATACAAAATAAGCACTTACCAAGCTGTTGACATACAATTGCTTGTGTTTTTGTTTCATCCTTTCGGTCTAAAATAGACCCTACCGTTCCCTGTCATAATATATAAGATATAACTGCTGTTATTTTCCTTCACTAGTAGTAAAAGGAACAAAGCAAAACTAGTCAGTGTCCTTTGATATAAATTCTATAATGTATCCAATTCTTTTATTTTTTTGCCGGTCGTGGGGCATGAACTCTTGGCCTGGGCGCTGTCCCTTAGCCCTTCAGCTCAAGGCTAGCACTCTACCACTTGAGCCAAAGTACCACTTCCAGCTTTTTCTGCTTTTGTGGTGCTGAGTGATCGAACCCAAGGCCTCAAGCATGCAAGGCAAGCACTCTACAACTGAGCCACGTTCCCAGCCCTGTATCCATTGTTTTTAACAAGTAACTGACCTTAGCAGCTTTGGGAATCTGGTCTACATATTGAGGTTTGATAATGGCTTTTAGATCATCTTCTAGAATCTTGGTAAAGTAATTTTGTAATTCTGATCCACGGAAGTAAGTCAGAATTTCCTGCCAGTCAGGAGGATCCTAAAAATATAGATAACAGTGACCTAAATTTACATTAATACTACAACCGAAAACAAGGATGAGTACTATGTAAAACAAAACATATACAATACTTGAGGCTTCCAAGTTAATTTTACGAAGAGGTGGGGGAAAGATTTAATTTCAAGGAAATTTGAGGAAATAAAATATTTTCAATTAACTGGTAGTAAAGTATTTCAGTTAAAAAATGAAAGAGCATTGTTAATAGTTCCTCAGAATTAAAGTCACAATTTATCTTCAAAATAAGAACCCAGTATTTCTTTCTTCATACTCTAATAAAAGCATCCCAAAACATAAAATTTCTGTTAATACATACATCATATTTGCCAAGGTTTGGCTTTTGCTTTCCTGCTAAAATCTTTAATGCAGTAGACTTTCCAATACCGTTAGTTCCAACTAATCCCAAAACTTCACCTGGACGAGGGATTGGCAACCTGTTAAAATATACAAAAACAAAACACAACTCAGACTTATATAGATAGCAAAACAACAACAACCTACCCAACAATAAAATGATGCATTTGCACATCACACACATCCATTAATAAGCTAAAAAATATGCCAGATATTATTGCCTATTAGGAAATAAACAGCCACGATAAAACTGTTAAGTGTTAGAAATGCATCCATTACTTCAAATTTTGTTTACCTAATTCTTATTTAAAACATTAACATTTCTTCTTTATATTTAAGGTTCATTTTAATGCTCAACAAAATGCTTTGGTAAAAAACTTCATAGCAGGTGCAACCTCACACTTACATTTAAAAAAATTCCTAGCCTGCCTTTTACTTACAAGGAGAGAAGTGCCACATCAACCAGAAATATCATTTTTTTTCTTTCTGATGCAGTTGGCCCTTAAAGCTGGCAGGTTGAAAAATACCTTTTCATTAGTAAAGTCTAGATTCCCAGATTCAAAATACTACTAATCAGCAGATAAAAACCTCAAAGAACTAAGGACTTTGTGATTTAATATGTCCAAATTCAGAATGCTATTCTTTGTAGGTCATAAGATTAATGGATTAAAAAAAAGAATCAAAGGTAAATTGCCTTAAAAGCTACTTAGGAGGGGGCAGAGGGTCATAGGGTTCTGTGAACAATATTGATTTTCAGTCTGAAAAGAGCTTGTAACTTTCCACCTGCTTAAACTGAGTTCCTAAACCCAGAAGTTGTAATTAAAATGGACTAAAACACGGCATTCATAGTTGTTTAAAAGACCAGGACTAAAAAGAACAGAATGAATCACTAGCATATACATATCTATACACAGATAGTATACACACATATAAAATGTACACAGCATATATCTGTAACTCTGCATGATGCCCTAACATTCAATTTACCTTTGGTATATGGCCAATGTTAATTTGTTCTTTTCATTTCTCTGAAAATTCCAAGTGTATTTAACTTGACCTAATACTGAATAGAAGGACACTGACTGGAAAACATACCTGTGAAGTTTGAAGGCATTGGCACAATATCGATGTGTTGTTTCCTTTTCCAAGTTGCTTGGTAAATTGACAATTGATAAAGCGCCAAAGGGGCATTTCTGTTATGTAAAGAATACTGTATTAATTTTTAGAAGCATACATTACTAAAAAGGATTAAGATTTTTATATGCAATCTTCCAAACATGGGAGTTTCATGAAGAGATATAAAATACTCATTTAGTGTAAACTCATTTAATGAGTTTAAATGATTTAAATAAGTTTAATACTCATGTCTGTAGCAGGTACTTTTTTACTTCCTTTAATTATTCCTGTCCCGGTATGCTTCCTTTCCTACCTTAGGTAAAATCTCTTACATTCTAGATTGTTATGGGTTTGTTTCCATCTTACCAATAATTAGAGTTTATGTAGAGGCCAAGATCAATGCCTTCGTGTGTGACTTACAAGTTTCAACGTTAATTCATATTTGAAAAGAAAACATTCATAGAAAATCATATCCAAAACATTTAATCATCAGACGAATGTCCACGGAACCAAAGTCACTAAAGTGGTATTGTAGGTAGAGAAATATCTCAGAAGTATAGACAATAATAATGATATAGGCACATCCAAAAAGTATAATCTTGTATTCTAGATTTGTTAGTGAACATGTCCACTGAACTCAAAAGACTGATCTATTTATAAACTGTAAGAATAAAGAACTGAAACAAAACCTCTTTTGTCTTCTAATATTCACCACCTTCTAACCAAAACAGTAATTAATTTTGCTACAATTTATATTCCTAGGGTTGAGGTGGCTCAGGTAGATCATCAACTTGGGAAGTGTGAGCTTAAACCCCATATTCCCCTTTCTAATATAAAGAACTAAAATAGCTACAATTTCTTTTTCATCATTGTACATAAAACACTTACAGGCTATAAACTGATTTTAAACTTCTCTAATTCCACATTGAAAAAAATATACTCACACTGCTTATAAATAAGGTGAATTACCTTAATGCCCAGAAATTATTCATGTTACCTTCCTATCTTCAAATAGGATTCACAACATCAGTATGTGTTTAGTTACAAAAAGGCATATCCAAATATTTGGAATATCATTTTTTTCATAGTAAGAAAAAAAATACCACACAGATGACACTCTACAGTTCAAGCCAGCACTTAGGGTATATGCAGGCATATGTAATAATAGATTAGCAAATATTCACTTAAGAAGTATTTCCAGTTTATTTTCAAAACAAAGGAAGAAAATACTCTCAGGTATCCATGTAATTTTTTCTGGATACTTAACCAAGGATTCAGAAACTGAAGTAGAATATACCTATGGTTTATTTGAACAATTTATAGGATGGTATCCATACTCTGGTGAAGTTCCTTTTTATATTACCTACAAATAAAAATATCTAAATTAAGAATTTTATACAATGTTTCCTCTATTTTTCTTATGAACTAAAGATGGAAATTTAAGCAGTCATAAGTCAAAATATTTAGTGAATCAGAAATGAACTAAGCTCTTTAAAAATTTCCTTATTGGGATAAATGTGCAGAAGCATGCCTTGGTAGAGCAGAAGTGGCACTTAAGAATTAAATTTTAAAATTTTGATTATGTGTTCATTTCTGCTTAAAAGTAGTTTAAAGACATGAAAAACATGAAATATGGTATTCATGCTTATGTACATATATATATACATATCTAAAACATTTTGGCAAAGCCATGCTGAAGCATATTAAAAGATAACTATGACAAGAATAAATTCCTAAAAGCATGGCTTACTGAATTAAAAAAGCAACAGCATTGCCATAAAAATGCCACTTTCCTAAATATATGTAACACATCTGCCCTATACTTTGTTAACTTTAAAAATAAGTATTCAAAATTTTAAGATTTGACTTTTGGATTACATATTTGATCCTAAATGAAATATTTTCACTCACCTTAATACAAATACCACAACCAATACATAGAGTTTCAGAAATCCATGCTATTTTGCTCTGAGGTGTAACCTCTATGCATAGTTTTCCTGGTAAAGAAAAGATACAATTTAATTTCCCTTGATCTTTTAGGATTTTCTAAACATTGCACAGAATAGATCTACAAAATAGAGTACAACAAAAATACATCTGAGACAATGCCTTAATTTGTGCTATGTGGGGGTAAACTTCTGACTTAAATTTTTGAGTTTATAGAAATAAAAATCCTGATAGCTATAGGCAGATGAATATTGCTTTGTTTAACTTACTAATGGGGAAGAACATAGTTTAGTAAAAACACAACAAAGCTTAAAACACAGACACATGCACACATTTTTTCTGCTGGTCCTGATGCTTGAAAACACAGGGCCTGGGCACTGTTCCTGAGCTTTTGTGGTCAAATCTCCACCACTTGAGCCACAGTTCTAATTCAGTTTTTCTGATCACTAATAGGAGATAAGAGTCTCACAGGTTTTTCTGTCTGGGCTGCTTCAAACCACGATCCTCATATTTCATTTTGCTGAGTAGCTAGGATTATAGGTATGAGCCACCAGCACCTAGCTTCAAACCTTCTTTTATCCTTAGATAATCCACAGAATAACTTACCCATTCGAACCACAGGGCAACTCTTTTTGCATTCCTGTCGACATTTCTTAGGTTTACATTTGTCATGGTTGACAATAGCAATTCTTGTTAATTTGTCTGCCATAATTGCAAGAAAGTAAGAATATCCAGTTCTTCTATTAAAGAAAAATTTAAAGATTATGGTAAATTCAATGCAATTACTTCAGAAAAATAATCCATAAAAGTTACAATGGATGATGTAAGTATTCCTCATATGGAGATGTTATGATTAGTAAAAAACAAGAGCTTTTTTAAAAAATAGTTAAAATAATGTAGTAAGGATAGAGAAACAAAACTTAATATAATCTTAAGATGTAGGAAAGACAACCTTGTCACTTAAAATAATAACAACAGAAAACACGTAGGAATATATTTAGCAATACATATATACACAGGAAACTTTCTAAACAGTGACAAAAAAAGATCTAAAACAATACATATATACACAGGAAACTTTCTAAACAGTGACAAAAAAAGATCTAACAAATTAAATGGTATGATACTTCAGGTATTTACCATAAAGAATAGTTGAGAACCAGCAAAACAAGAATTTGACTGTGCTCAATTTCAAAGTTTTATAAGTCTTGATATAAATAGTGTCATGGCATGCAGATCAAAGCAGACTTAATACTCTTCTGTAATACTGACACTGGTGCAGATGTTAATTTCATTAGAATGGTGGTTAAGTAATACTACAAAGTGCCTTCCACGCCAATTTACCCTCATATACAACGAGCCAATCTGAAGCCAAATGACTATTAATTTACAGACCTCACTTCCCATTTGCTTTTCCTGTGATCCTCAACTCTCATCTATTTTGATAGACTACTTTCCTGTGACCTCTCAAAGTCTTTTTCCAAAGCCATCAATGGAACAGGACAATTTTTTTTTCTTTTTTAAAGCTATTTCTGGGGCCTGGGTGTTTTCCCTGAGCCTCTTTACGCTCAAGGCTAGGGGTCTACCACTTGAGCCACAATGCCACTCTGGCCTTTTCTGAGTAGTTTTATTGGAGAGAAAGAGGTGTCTCGAGCATTTCAGTCTGAGATGGCTTTAAACCATGATCTGCAGATCTCAGCATCTGGAGTAGCTAGTATTATAGGCTTGAGCCACCAGTGCCAGACTAGGACAAATCTTTTCTCTTTATTTTGCCTCAGATGATTACCTTTCCTTCCTCCTTGAAGTTATGCCTCTCAGACCATCCAATTGCTTCAGTCATTTATTTGGTAGTTTACTAATATCCTTTTATTACTCCTGACATTTTGATATTCCAATGTGCTCATAGATGATCAGTATATTAGCAGCTTGCCCTCTCAGTTCATTAATTACTCTCTTCCAGCCTTATGTACTCTACCACAGCCTCATATTCATTGATCTTGTTACTTCCAAAAATTGCAATCCTTCCTTAACTCCAATTTTGAATAGCACTTTCTCCAACCACTACCCCTTCAAGATTACTTGTCTAGTACATGAGAATGCAATAATAAACTTTTGGTTCCTCTCACTCTTCACTAGCTACTGCTAGTCATTTATTTCCTTCTAAGTAAAAGCCAGCATTAAGACTAACCATAAGTTACCAGTCAACATCTGTTAACTTTCTGATTTGATCTCCAACTATTCTGACTCTTGTTTAACTCCATCTGCTCTTTGTTGTTCCTAGTATAGTACACATTAGGTTCTCCTTTCAAGGTTTGACACTTTTTGCTCCTACTGCTGGTGGTGCTATTCATAATTACATGGCTCAGTTTTTCTTTTTCTTTTTAAAACTATTCCTTAGGGAAACTTCTATAGTTATATATATTTTCTTTGTTTGTTTTTGGGTCCGGTCATGGGGCCTGAACGCTGGGCCTGGGCGCTGTCCCTCAGCTCTTCAGCTCAAGGCTGGCGCTCTACCACTGGAGCCACAGCACCACTTCCGGCTTTTTTCCTTTTTGCTTATGTGGTGCTAAGGAATCAAACCCAGGGCCTCATGCATGCAAGGCAAGCGCTCTACCACTGAGCCATCTTCCCAGCCCCAGTTATATACATTTTTCATATGTTCATGCTTTACGTGTATAGATTTATGGGTGTGTTTATATGTATATATATATATATATATATATATATATATATATATGCATGCACTCTACATAATTTTTTCTCTTCCCAAGTAGAATGTACTCCATTTGTATGATACAAGAGGATTTGTGTTCCTTCAGGAGGCTTGCCCAGTCCCTAACACACTGGGAGCTCCAACATACCTGCTGAATTGAGAAAGCAGATTTAAATGGTAAATAATTTTTTCATAAGTTACATTAACTCCAGATCTTGCACATTACCAATGTGATACAAATATTCACTAAATTATCAACTGGGGGAAAAAAGTCATCCACAATGAACCAAACAGTTCTATAATAAACTGAGTCAGGCTGACAAACAAAATCAATTCTTTAAAAACTGATCTAGGTATCTGGAAGATTTAAAATTTAAATGACTTGAATTATAACCCTAAAGAACCTTCATTATCAAAAACAAAACAATACCAACAAATAAAAATCAGCAAGAAAAAGACAAGAAGTTAATTTAGGTAACTATTAAACTGGGAATTACGTTTCATCTAATTTTTCAACTGTCTTAAAAAAGATTGCCTTAGTATACAACTGTACCAGAGGTGGCAAATTAGCTGATTTACACAACAGTGACAATCATTCAAGAAACATGAATATAGATTCCTACAAGGACAGCATTCATGGCCTAAGATTAAAATCATATTTATAAAGCAGTATAAAAGAACGTATAAGATTGCTGTTACCCGATGAGGTCTGGTATTACACCAACATTGTAATTTATGCTTACCGTAGATTACTGTACCCAAGCAAGGTGGGAGACACGCACACCTCTGACTTCAATGGGTCCCTTCCCTTGAACAACTGGTAAATGTTCTCAAGTTTTTAGGTGCGGAAGGACAAGGTTTGTAATGAAAACTAAGCAGATCAAACTTTGTTTAAACACAGTTAAAGAGACTTGGGTGACAGGGAAAACACTATCCCTTATTCCCTGATCCTAGTTAGCAGTCTCGTGGAAGAAAGAATAAACAGGATAAACCAAGTTGTTTTGACTGTTACTCCTTAGTCATCGATTTTACCATCAGAAAAGAGAAGCCATTTACGTGCTACATGGGATGTGGGAACCCAGCTGTGGCAATATGAAGCCCTGCAAAGCACATCTAAAGCTGTTTCCGATCAAGGCATCATCCTTGATCTCGGGGGTGGGGGGGTGGGTTTAAGATGTAACCCAGACGTGGGGCCCTTCCGCTGGGAAATGCCTCGGGGGCGGGGGGGCGGACGAAGCTCCGCCAGAGCAGCAGGGCGTTAGTCCACCGTTCCCCGTCAAGTCTGGCGGCGGACTTGGGGTGTTGATGGCGGCAAGAGGCTATGATTCACCCCGCAGTCACCACGAGGGCCGAAGAAAAGCCAGGAATGCCCGTCCTCGGATCGGCGTGCGTGGCCGCGGGGCCACCGCGAGCGTGTCGGAAGCCCGCGGGTGCCCCGGGGGGAGCGGGGACGCCGGCGCCCGCGCCCGCGGGCTGGGTGATGGCTCCCAGCACCGCTGCGGCGGCGGCCGGGCCGCGGGGGGGGCCGGGCCGCGGGGGGGGCCGGGCCGCAGCGGCCCCGCGCGAGGCGCCCCGGCGCTTCCAGCTGTGCGGCCGGAGCCGGCTGCCACGCGCCGCCGCCGCCACCCCCAGCGGCCGAGCCACGGGCTCCGGGACCAGGTCCTCAGCCAGGGGCCGACCCCCGTTCCCAGCCATCCACGTACCTGGAGTAAACAATCCCCCCGCGGCGGGGACGGGGAAGGCCGGCGCGTCCCTCAACCACACGGCGTGTTCTTACAGCCACCGGCCAAAATGGCGGTGCCCAGCCGCCGTCTCGCGCGAGCCACACGGGCGCAGCGCGCCTGCGCGGACGGAGCGCGGGGCGGAGCTCTAGCGGTAGGTAAGGTGAGCGGCGTGTGTTGACGTCATTGCTCGGCGACCACACTTCGACGTCATCGGGGAAGCCTGGCAGTCCCCAGCCAGCCGAGTGGGAGTGTCGCGCTTCCGCTGGTGCCGAGAACCTGAGCTGTGAGCCGTGGGTTCTTCCTCGACCCAGAGAACGGGCCGACGTAAGCGGGTGCGCTCTCCTCCTCGGTCTCATTCTTCGCTTCCCATTCGCGGCCTCCTCAGCGTTCGGAGCGTCAGGCGTCGCTGCCTCGGTCATTCGGGTTCGCCGCGCGTCCAGCGGGGCCAACTGTGGCCCCGGCCGGGGTCCCGGCGGCCTCCGCTCCCTCCGTCTGTGGGGTCCGTGAACTCGAGTCCTCCTTCCCCTCGCCCCTTGTTTTATATGTACTTGGTGGCATCCGGTCCCAGGTCCGGCGGTTGACTTCTGCCCCACGTAGAGAGGGGTTTTGAGGGGCCAGGCCGTTCGGACCTTCCCGCAAGCCTACGGTACGCTGCCCGTGCCGGTATTTCGTGGGTAGTAAGTATTTGTGCGGCGGCCTTGGGAACACCTTGGGATCCAACCGGAGGCGTCAAGGGGATGGACTCGTGTAGTAGTTATTTTTGTGCCGGTAGTGAGACTTGAACGCAGGGCCCTTGCGCTACCCACTAGCTTTACCAGTCGCTCAAGACTGTAGCTCTGTACCACTTAAGCCACAGCTTTTATGGTTGATGTTGTACAGAGGAGCCGGGCGCTGGTTGCTCATTGGAGGTAAGAGTGTCATGGACTTTCTATCCGGGCTGGCTTTGAAGCTCGGTCCTCAGACCTCAGCCTCCTGAGTAGCTGGGGTTACAGGCGTCAGCCACCGGTGCACCGCTATGTTTAGTATTTGTGATAATATTCAACAGTAGTAACTGCGCAACTGAATCAGTTTAATGCACTCTTCGCTGCTGGATAAGTATTTCTTCATGTTCGTGTCAATTTACTAAGATTAATACAAGAATGATGAAGGGGATATTTGTGATTTATGTTTCTCTGAAAGTTTTGTTTTTACCTTTTGGGGAAAGATTTTGAGATCCTGACATAATGTGTGTGTTCTTTCTACATAGAACAATTAAAAAATGACCACACCAAACAAGACTCCTCCTGGAGCTGATCCTAAGCAGTTGGAAAGGACTGGAACAGTAAGGGAAATTGGGTCACAAGCTGTTTGGTCACTCTCATCTTGCAAACCAGGTAAAGCAAAACCAAACCTGCTGCTAATACAGTTTCCTTGTACACTGACATAACTTCATTTATTTTCAGTTAGTGCATGTATCTGACCAACTGTTTCACTAATAGCTCCCTAAGACTTAATTACTTATCTCATGAGGTCTTTTTTTTGTCGGTCGTGAGGCTTGAACTCTGGGCCTGGGCACTGTCCCTCAGCTCTTCAGCTCAAAGCGAGCGCTCTACCACTTGAGCTACAGCGCCACTTCCGGTTTTCTGGTGGTTTATTGGAGATAGGAGTCTCACGGTCTCTCCTGCCCGGGCTGGCTTTGAACCATGATCCTCAGACCTCAGCCTCCTGAGTTGCTAGGATTACAGGCGTGAGCCACCAGCGCCCGGCATGAGGTCTCTTCTTGATCCTCCATTATGTCTGCTGTGATTCAATTGTTAAATGATCAGCATTTTGTATTGGTGATATGTATCCCATAATAATTCCTTTATTTTTGATTTGGGTAGCAGTGTAGTTCATTTTTCTCAAAATCATGTCAAGGCTATTTCATTACCAATTCCACCCCCCTCCCCCCCCCCCCCCCCCCCACACACACACACACATTATGTCTCTTCTAATTATTCTTTTTGAGAGCATCTAAGACTCTTTTATTCCTGGACTTCAAGAATTTTGCTAGAACATGGCAGGGCAGGACATGTGTGTACTGTGTTCTCTGTTATTCCAGAAACTTGCCTCATTGGGCTGGGGATGTAGTTCAGTGGTAGAATGATTTTGTAGTGTATATGTTGTCCTGGGGTCATTGCTCTGTCCTGCAAGTAAAAGAAAAGCATTCTCATGCTCCTTGTAATCATTATTCTACTTTCTCTAAGTTCCTCACCAAGTCTCATCTGTTTTGGGTCTTACAAATGGTTTTACCTTTCCAAGAATTTCATTATAAACATAATTGTACAGCATGTAGCCATATTTATGTACTGTTGCTTTTTCCTTCAAATTTTTTTCTTTGTTTTTTCATTTTCTGCAGTTTGTCATAATGTGTCTAGATGTAAATATTTAGCTATTTAACTTGCTTGGTGGTCTCTATATCTGTGGTTGATGTCATCAATTTTGAAAAGTTTCCAGCCATTTTTACTTCAAATTTTCTTCATTTTGTTCATTCTTTTCCTGCTGCTATTCCTATACACAATGTTTGCAAAGGTTTGCAGCTTAGAAAAACATGGCTTATTTTAAGAACCGCAAGAACTAGTCAGTAAGACCAGAATCTAGGGAAATGGCAAAGTGAAACTAGATAGCTAGAGACTTGAGCATAGCATGATTTCTTAAACAGTTCATATTGTATTTTATAGGAAAAAAAGCCATTGAAAAAAGTTCAAGTATCTTATAACCAATGTGAAAAGTTATTAAGAAGTGATTTGATTTTTTTCATACTCAGCCTTTCAAAATCTGTTGCATAAATTTCAGAACATTAACAGCTTTACTACTGGGATGCAGATATGTGTTCTTGTATGTTATTGGTGAGCAAGTATTTTGGAGGAAAATTAGAATATCAAAAATTATAGTAACTGAATTCTATACCTACGAATTCATCTTCCAGAAATAGGAACATGGACTTAAAGATTATAGGTAAATAGGCATTTATTATTATAGGTAAAACAACATTTTTATAAAAGCAAAACATTGAAAACGAACTACATGCCAATTAGAGGTTTAGTGATGTAATACTGATATTTCCAGACAGAGATATATTATAGACTTTAAAAATCTAGGCGGGGAAGGTGGCTCTGTGGTAGAGTGCTTGCCTTGCATGCATGAGGCCCTGGGTTCCATTCCTCAACACCACATAAGCAGAAAAAGTTGGAAGTGGCACTGTGGCTCAAGTGGTAGAGCACTAGCCTTGAGCTGAAGAGCTGAGGGACAGTGCCCAGGCCCAAAGTCCAGGCTCCACAACTGACTAAAAAAAAAAAAGTAGAGGTTGTTTATGTTGAGATAGTATATGAATTGATGAATATTAGATGGGTTAACATATATAAAACAGAATGTAATTTCAGTATTATGGAATAAACTCCCAGATATGTCTAATGGAAAAAAGTCCATTAAAATACATAAATATGTAGTATGCCATCATTTGTGCTAGAGAGGAGAGAAAGAAAATGCATGTGCTTCTTCAAATGTACATGTGGCGTCTTTGAAAGATGAGGCAAGAAATTAACATGGGTGATATTTGGTGCAGAGAACAAGTGGATGAAGTGACTTTTTACCATTTATGAACCTCTTTATTTGATCCACAGTGAAAACATTACTAATTAAAAAATGAAATGTAAATGTAGATTGTTTTTTTGGTTTTTTTTTTTTGGAGGTCCGGTCGTGGGGCCTGAACTCTGGGCCTGGGAGCTGTCCCTCAGCTCTTCAGCTCAAGGCTAGCGCTCTACCACTTGAGCCATAGCGCCACTTCCGGCTTTTTTCTTCTTGCTTATGTGGTGCTGGGGAATCGAACCCAGAGCCTCAGGCATGCAAGGCAAGCGCTCTACCACTGAGCCACCTTCCCAGCCCTGTAAATTGTTTTTAACTATAAAAAATTTGATTTACCATTATATTATGCTCTATGTGTATGAATTATTGTGGCTTTAATCAGGAAAAGACACAATATATAACTCAATTTTAGTTTTGTAGAATGGCTCGAGGATATAGAATTCTGGATAAATTTAATTTTAGTTAATAGAAGCACTTGGTTCAAAATGTGTATTTCTTTATTATGTGTATATATATATATATATATATGCTTATATATATATATATATATATATATATTTTTTTTTTTTTTTGGTGGTGGGGCCTGGGCATTGTCCCTCAGCTCTTGAGCTCAAGGCTAGGGCTCTACCACTTGAGCCACAGCTCCACTTCTGGCTTTTTCTGTTGATGTGGTATTGAGGAATCAAACTCAGGGTCTCATGCATGCAAGGTAAGCATTCTACCACTGAGCCACCTTCCCAGCCCCAAAATGTGTATTTCTTATGGAAATATTTCTGATTTGTCCTTTTTCGTGTCATAGTAAGACATATGCAGTATACTAGAATCTGCTTGTCTTCCAGGATTTTGTAGGACATAGGGATCATTCTTGTTATCACTTGTAAAAAGTGTAAGAAACTGAATGTGAATACATACATAGTAAGTACCAGAGGATGTTTTTTTTAAAAACCAACAACCCCCAACCCTCCAATTTGTCATATTATAAGCTTTGCATGCATCTTCTATTTCTTAACAGTCAAAATCTGGACACAAGAGTAGAAGAATTTTGGTCAATTTTCACATTTCTAGTCATCTTTATAATCAAAATTTCTGGATAAATGTATATGGTGACTTTATGTTTTAAATATACAGTTCTCTTTCTCATGGGAATTTTTTGATTATAGGTTTTGGAGTGGATCAATTACGAGACGACAATCTAGAAACGTACTGGCAATCTGATGGCTCCCAGCCACATTTAGTGAACATCCAATTCAGGTAATGCATTTTGAATGTTTCGATAAGCGTAGGTTATAAGTTGCTAAGGAAATCTACTTTATTTACAGAAAGCTTAAAGAAATATAAATATACTTTCAAATTCTTTACGTGTTAGAGGCTATTTTTCTGTTCAACTTGATTGCAAGCAACTTGAGTTTACTCTGCTTTATCCTTTATGACCTTATGGTACTTGTATGAACAGGTTTCTCAAATATACTTTTCAACATGATTTCATTTCAGAAAATATTTTGGATTTGTACATTTTGCTTGTGACCCAAAATGCCCTCATTTTTGTACTAAGGAAACCCAAAGTGATGATACTAAGTGCATTTAATATGGAGTATTTATATAACTACTCACATTTGAACTTCCATCTCGGATAGAAAATTGTATTAACTAAGAAACTCGAAGGCCATTTTCAGGCTTTGAGTTTATTGACATAAATGGAAACCAGTTAACTTGATTATCTTGTTTCATTAATATCTGTTTAAGCTTTGGATAGCATTGCGTTTTTAGTTGTTTGTTATTGTTATTCTAGGGTAGAAATCAGCAAACTTCTTTTGAAGCAGCCGGATAATAACTGTGTTAAACTTGTGGCCATGTAGTTTTTGTTGCACCTATGTAGTTCTGCTATTACAGTACTGAAGCAGCCATATTCAATGTATAAATGACTGATATTAGCTCTCCTAGTTAAACTCTTCCTTAAAAAAGCAGATAGTAGGCAAGACTTGATCCACATGATATGACAATGCTTGGTTCTAAAAGACCCATTTATCTCACATAAACTTTATCCTTAATATCTTACTTTTAAATTAATTAGTTAATTAATTTTCTCAGAAGCAGAGACTTAGACAAATTAACTTGCCTAGTCACACAGCAAGTCAGTGGTATAACTAGTTTGAACCCAAGCTCTCTGATTTCACAGCTTTTAGCCCTGATAATGTAAACCTAAGGTAAATTGCTACTGCATGAAGGCAAAAGCTATAGCTTAAAAGTTGAATACTCATACTGATTTAATAGTATAATAGCAGTGGATATTTTTCTTTGTAAATAAAATTCTGTGTAGAATGACAATGTACTGAACAAATAATACTGGACAATTAATAAAATAGTTCAGATTTATTGTATTTATTATCAGATATCTCTTTTAAGGCTTAAATTTAATATGTAATAGAGTTATAAACATAGCATATTTTATAATTCACAAGACAACCTTCTAAGATACAGGTTCCACAATTTTTTTCTTGTTTTATATGTGAAGAAAGTGAAATTTAGATTAAATAATTTACTCAGATCCTACAGTATGCGTTATGGAGGTTGGATTTGATTTCAGTGGAGCTGACTTAAAAGGCTGGCTGGAATGAATACCCAGAGTGAGCTGCTTCTCAATGAAGATGTAGTTAGTCTCTCCAAAATCTCGAAGTTCTCGCTTAACTCAGTCCTTTTTCTCATTAGAAAGCTCAAGGCTTTGAGGAAAACATTTTTAAACAAGTAGCTGCAAACTCATGAAAGATTTTAAGCTGGACATGTTGGCTCAATCCTATAATCCTAGCTACTTAGGAGTAGAGATGGGAGATCAACTCTCAGTTAATGGCTGGGGAGTTCCTGTCATCCCCAGCGATAAGATGAAGCATATATACTATTAACATCCAGGTCTGATTTGCATAAAGTAAGCTCTAAACCTCAAAAATAAATAGTGCAAAAAAGTAACTAGAGGTAGTATGGCAGAGTGCTTGTCTCACAAGGGATACATTACTACTGGTTCCAAGTTTACACCAAGTTAAGTTGAATCAAATGTTGAATTTAATACTCAATTTTCTTCTCTTTTCTTCCTTCCCTGTGGTATTGGTGTTTGAATTCAAGTCTTTGTGCTTGTTGAGTATTTTGTGAGGAGGTACTTTGAGTATTGGAGTAACTATCTAGCAAAAGATTTTGTGCCGGTTCCTAGAAATCAGCCTTTGCCCCAAGAAGATCTGGCTTTTTTTTTTTTTTAACACAGAGAGATCTGGTATTGGGTGTACTCCTTACTGTTTTTGAGCTTCTCAGTGTGCAGAGGGGATATATTTATGCAATATACACAAAAATACACATATAAATGCATACCTATATCTACATTTATCTATGTACCAATATATTGAAAACCATAAATTTATATGGACACATCCAGTTACAAATCTAATCCAAAATAAACAGGATTTGCTCTACTTTTCTTCCATTGTGTTTTTGTAAGTGCTGACTTCTAGTGAAAATCCAGTTCTCTTATCCTTAATATATTATTTTATTAATACCCTTGTGTATTCTTTTGGTTTCCTCTCATGCAGATTCCTCCCTGCTCTACTAAGGTGCTGAACTTCTTGTGCTGTGCCCATTTCCCTCTCTCTGCTTCTGTTCACTTGTCTGTCAGCTTACCCTTCTCAGCCATTATGTCAGGAACAAAGAATGTGAATCTTTTGTTTGCTGCTTAAAGACAAGTATCTAGAATATGTTTCTTTTATGTCTCAGTCTCAGTGCTTAAAAAGATTTACTACTTTTATGGAGTGCAGTTATATAGCCCTCTGTTAAAGTCTGGTTTTAGGCTTTATTAGATGTAGAAATAAGGACTGCTTAAGGACTACTCTTTAAAGACTACTCTTTAAACAGTATAAAAATGCTGTTTTTATCAGGAATATGGAATTGTAGTACACAGATTTTATAACTATGCTTGCCACAAGGTGGACACTTCTCTCAATGTAAAGAAAAACTTGGCAGTTCAGAAGTGATATGGTAGCTCCATAGTGTATTTGTGGACCCAACATTCATTCTCTTTCTGCTCTTTCATCCTTTCATGCCTAGTGGCATCTCTACTTCACATCCGTACTCCTGGCAACAGAAAGGAGTCGGTGGGAAAGTTGAAAGGGATATGTGTTAAGATGCAGGATAACAAAGCTGTATTATAACATGCAATCATTTTATTTAAATTTTCCTGGCTATAACTTAGCCACATGGTCATACTTAGCTTTAAGTAAAGTTGCATCTTTAGCTGGATGCTGTGAGGAAGGAAGGGATAAGTGGATTGTGGTAGGCAACCTAAAAATCCCTGCCACTGATGATTCTGTTGGAATGTAGTGGGTCCCAACCAGAAGAGAAATTATTCAAGTCAGCAGGTAGAAGATGACATGTCACCTTTGTAAAACTGAGAAGCTTATGCTGACAGCATCATAGCTGCACTACCTCTTTAGTCAAGCGTGTCTTGTAATATCAGACCCTAGAATTAGACACTTACTCATCCAGTTGTGAAACTGCTAGATCAGGTATGCCTGCCTTTATTAAATATGTGGCATGAAGAAACAAAAGTAAATGTTTGTTGCCTGCCAGCAACTCTTTGTCTGGAGAAAAGGGTATAGTGGGTGAGGGAAGAAAGGGGAGATCAGGAGTGTTTCTTATGTTATCAGAAATAGAAGTACTACCTTCTTCCTTCTTCCTTCCTGAAATACCTGTGTTTAACAAGATGTTTTGTATGTAGTAAGCATTAAATATAGTGACTATTGTTAGAAAGATGACTTGAGAAATTTGAATAGATTTCACGATGACTCATATTTAATCTTCCCATGTAGCTGCTTTTTGAGAAAGTATGATTTTCTATATGCTATGACTTATTGACTCATTGAGAAATAAAGTTGACAAAAAATTAAAAGATTTTATGATATCTTTAATAGCAGTTTTAAACTTCATGAAATCACATTTTCTTTTGTAAATCTAATATAACTATGTAGCATAAATTTTGTATATAATTTCTGGGGATGCATGAACCATAATGGGGAAAAAATCTCTGGTTTAGATAAAATTGAAATAAATATTACTGTAAACTGGAATCAATAATTTAAACAAGTTCAGTTAGTTAAAAGGAGGTAATAATGGTTAAGATCATGTGAAGCAAACACATTTTTGAACTCTGATTGTGCTCACCTGCTTAGTGTTTTGACTTAAGCCAGTTATTACTGTCTGTTATGTTTTTAAATGGTAGTAGTAGCTCCTATATCACAAGATTGAGGAATCAATGAGATAATACATACAGAGCATTACCTGGAGGCCAGATATAAAGTAATCATTCACTAGCTATGTACTACTGTGGTTTTTTGTTTATTTTGTTTTGTTTTTGTTGGTCCTGGGGCTTGAACTCTGGGCCTGGGCACTGTCCTTGAGTTCTTCAGCTCAAGGCTAGCGCTCTACCTCTTGAGCCATAGTGCCACTTCCAGTTTTCTGAGTGGTTTACTGGAGAGAAAACTCACAGACTTTTCTGCCCGGGCTGGCTTTGAACAGTGATCCTCAGATCTCAGTCTCCTGAGTAGCTAGGATTACAGGTGTGAGCCACCAGTGCCCGGTTTCTGCTGTTTTTCTTTTTTTTAATTGTCATTATTCTTTGCCTTTCTAAATTGATATCATCTTGTAGGTTTCTGTGATTATGTTTCTTGAATTTTTGTAGCTTAGAAGTAAAGTTATTCTGATCAAAAGCTTGATTCTTTGAAATTGCTATTTTTTAAAAATATTAACAGAGACACCTTTGATCTCTTTTCCTTTCTGCTTATGGCTCATCAAGGAGAAAGTCTTCAGTATGCTCTTAAAATTTTTGTCTTTCTCCCTTACTTCCTTTCTTGTCTTCTGGCTGACCCAGCAAAAAGAGAGAAGCTAGTCTGATATTTGTGGCCTCTTTTGAAAACCCCTTAATGGTATTTGTCCTGTCAGCAGTTCTGGCATATTTAATGTTTCACATCTTGATCCCAGGAAAAGTCCTTAACTTTTCTCCTTCCTTTCTGATGAGTAGCCCAATCTAGCAAATTTGGTTTTACTTAAGAAGAACTATAGACCCCCTACTGTTTTTAAGGCTGACTTTTGACACAGATTACTTCTGTTGAAGGAGTTCATTGTTATTGAGCCAGTGCCAAGTTTACATTAGAACTTATTTTTTTTAAAGCACATTTCAGTAGAAATCAAATGATTTTCCCAGTTTTAAAAATTACTTATTTTTTTTGAAGGCAAAATGGCACATGATCATCTTTTAGAATTATTTAATAAATATAGAACTCATAAAAAAGAAAATAAAGAGCTCCCTTGGTTTCATCCACTGAAGTAGTCATTTTAGTTTTTTTGTTTTTTTTTAACCAGTGTTGGGGCTTGAACTGAGGAGTTGGGTACTGTCCTGAGCTTATTTTTGCTCAGGACTACAACTCTGCCAGTTGAGCCACAGCTTCACTTTGTGCTTTTTGGTGTTTTTTTTTGAGTTTAGAGTCTCATGGACTTTTCTGTTGGGTCTGGCTTCAAACCATAATCCTAAGATCTCAGCCTCCTGAGTTGTTAGGATTATAGATGTGAGCCACTGGCGACTGGCTCCTACTTTTGTATAGTTTCATCAAGGCCTTTTTCTCAAATATAGATTTATATGCCTTTAATTTTTTCCCCCCTGGAATGAAGTACTGCTGTTTTGTATTTTGCTGCTTTTCTATGTAGTTACGTGGCTTCACATTGTGGTTCTGTACTGATAAGCACATTACAAATTGAAATTATTTTAAATAGGAATGTATTGAATACAATTAACCTACTCTATCTCCTCCTAGCTTAGCAATGTAGTACACTGTACTGTATAGTTGTGTCCCCTCCTGGTTTCATGGCCAGCTGGGAGCTGCTTCCTCTTAACATTGAGAGAGACCCATGGCATCATTTAAGGCCAGAGGGGCTAAGGCAGGAGATCAGATTTGGTTTCCTTAAGAAGAGCTATAGACTCCCTACTGTTTTAATAGGCTGACTTTTGGGCGGAGGACTTCAAATTTGAAGCATAGTTGCTACTCAGTGTGCATGGCTCTCACACCAATGTTAAATTGAACATGTTTCTAACCATTCTAAGTCAAGATTTTTCTTTACTTTGTGTAGTGTTAGATGTATTATTACATCGAATGGAAAGTCAGCTGATTCCCTATTGTGATGGATATTTATGTTGTTTTAAAATTTTTAGTAATCACTGGACATTTATTTTTCAGTAATTGTGGTAGTAATTTTTAGTGTACTTAGAGTTGAATTAGTGGGTCAAAAGTTGTATACCTGTGAACTGACTTTGAAAGTGTCTTTTTCTAATCAAATTTGGCTATTATCTGTAACTCTAATTATTTCAATATGCTAAAACTAATTCGGTTTAATTTTTTTCTTTATTATAAATTGAACATTTTTTCATGATTTTCAGCCTCCCTGAGGTTAATTTTTTATTGTATGTTTTTCTGATTATTCCCTAGTATATTTATATAAAATAGGCAACATTTTACTTCTTGTATTAAATAACAGGTTATGCTTGCTATTTTTTAAAAAACGTTCATTCTTTGCTGGGCTCAGTTTATCACTTAGCTATTTATTTTAATGTATTTATGTAGAGAATAAATCATCTAGTAAAGAAAAAACAAACTTCTGAAGAATGTAAAAAAATAATCATATATATGTGTGTGTGTGTGTATATATATATATATATATATATATATATATATATATATATATAAATATATGACAGCACCTAACAGCCATTTTTGCTTCTGTGCGAATTGCTTTGTGTTAGATGATTGTATGGTTTTTGTATGATTTTGACTGTGACTGGTTTTAGTTACTCAGTAGTGGAATGTCAGCCTGGGAGCCTAGAGTTGCTTAGTAAAAGACTTCAAAGGCTTTACAGCCTTGACCAAGGGCGCAAAGTCCTCAGAATCATCCCCAAAGCTGCAATGCCCTTCCCAGAGGCTGGGGCAGTAAGGCCCTAGGGAAGAAATATAATGTTTTAAGAAACCTAAGCAACTCCATTTTTGTTTAACACTCCATCTCAGTTCTGCGACTTGACTCGTGATCCACTTTAGCCCCCAGTGCTAGGAATTTATGACAGAAAGCCATGCACAATTCTTGGAGCCTTAGATGGTGTTTGTTTAAGGCAGGTGATAGTCCCCCTTAGCCACCTAGGACTGGTTAAGAGTTTCTAACCAACCAGTTCTTCAGAGCCCGGGGCGAGACATGCCATGCATTCTGTTGGTCCAGGTGTGACTGGTAACCTTGGGTGTGACTGGTAACCTTGGGTGTGACTCCTAACCTTTTTCAGTCAAGCTATGGACCAAGGACATTTTTCTGTAAAGGTCAACCAATCATTATTTGCCCAGTTTAGCTTGCTTTAAAGGTAAATGTTAACCAATCATTTAATTCCTTACGTAAAAGTTCCTTAAAGTTGTTTGTTCAGTACTATAAAAACTGCGCTGTTTCTATGCTCAGGGCCTCTTAGCATCACCGGTTACTGTGTGCGTGGAGGACCAAGCTCGAGCTTGCAATAAACTGGCTCTTTGTTGCTTACATTGATCGTGTTCTCTGGTGGTCTTCTGGGGGTCACCGAATTTCGGTAGAACACTTACTAGAAAACTTTCCTTATCTAATGTACAAATAAAAGGGATGGTAATCAATATTGTTTCCCTATTAAGAGATCTAAATTTCTATTTAGTTCTAGCCATGTTTTACATAAGAGATGTGTATAAATAAAATGTTATATGTATACCTTTATTTTATTTCATGGTTGAAATGAAAGAAAATTAAAATTATTTGCTTTCCATATTTATCCTATGATAAAGAGAAGAAGATGTTTTGGCATTAATCTTTTAGCATGATAAAGTACTTGTTTTTACTTTTTGTTTTAGAAGAAAAACAACAGTGAAGACGTTATGTATTTATGCAGACTATAAATCTGATGAAAGCTACACTCCAAGCAAAATCTCAGTCAGAGTAGGAAATAATTTTCACAACCTTCAAGAAATTCGGGTATGTCATTCAGATTTTTAAAAATGTGTCTTCCTTTAATTCTTGTTGGAATGATCATAGTTATAAATGTTAACATGTCAAAGGAAAATTGCTAATATTGAAGCCAACGTTTGGGGATAATGTTTTTTGTATTCTTTTGGATTCTTATTGTCATCTTTCTTCAGTATTATGGGAATTTTCAGTCTGTAGAAAAGGAGAAATAATTTGATAGTGAACCTCAATATGCCTAACTTCTAGATTAATTGTTAATATTTTGCTATATTTATATTGAAATCTGCCTCTCAGTTTTTTTTGACAGTACTGGGGTCTCGAGTACTCAAGGTCTCATGCTTGCCAGGCAAGTACTCTACTAATTGAGCTATGCCTCCAGCCCTGTTTGCCCTGGGTCTTGCTTTATGCATGGGCCCATCTGGACTTGTGCTTCCCCTTGTTGTTGAGATGACAAGCATATGCCACTACACCAGCCTTTGGTTCAGATGGACTCTCATGACCTTTCGTGCTTGGACTGGCCCCCGTCCACAATCCATATCTAGGGCTGCAGGATTGAGCCATCTCCTCCATCTTAGCATTCTAATATTATACATTTCAAAATAAGTTAATGTTAGGTTTTTAAACAGGTAGCCGAGTAAGAACAGCACCAGTACGCACGTGGTATTCAGGTAAGGGGTAGGTTTATTCAGTAGACCTGCTGGGACCAGGCAAGGTTGGCACTCCACGTGGCTGGGAAAGGCCTGGGAATGAGAGAGAGCTGGGAAAGAGAGGAAAGAGCTAGAAAAGAGCAGAGAGAGGGGTGAGAACAGTAGCACTCACGTGGTATTCAGGTAAGGGGTAGGTTTATTCAGTAGACCTGCTGGGACCAGGCAAGGTTGGCACTCCACGTGGCTGGGAAAGAGAGAGGAAAGAGAAAGAGCTGGGAAAGAGGAAAGAGAGAGGGAGCAGAGAGAGCTAGAAAAGAGCAGCAAGAGAGACAGAGAGGAACAGAGAGAGAAAAGAGAGAATCTGGGCCTGGGCTAGCCCTTATCTAGGGTATGGGCGGGGAAAGGTGTGGCCACATCAAATTCGGATGTGACCTCAGCAGATGCAGATGTGACCTCTTCCAGGTGTCCCAGTTGCCTAGGTAGCACAGGTACTGGGTGGAGACTTTGCTGTGAGGAAGGTGGAGTCTGCTCGCCGTCCAGGGGCGGACCTTACAGTTAACAGATGTCTCTGTATTTTATCCCAATACTTGCACATAATGTGTTAGTGTTACCAGTGTTTACCTACTGCTCATTTTTGAGGTAAAATTTATTACAGTTTTGCTCAAATCTTAGATTATTTGGTAAGTTTGACAAATGCATACATCTGTGTAACTCTTAACTCTTTTAAGATAGAGAACATTTCTCTCACCCTAGAAAATTCCCTTAAATTCTTTCCAGTCAGTTTCCATCTCTGTCTTATCCTCAGATAAGTAGCCTTATGTTTTTAAGGCATCTTTCAGTGTGAATTTTTTTGAAATTCATCCTCATTAAAAACACAATATTTAGCCGGGCGCTGGTGGCTCACGCCTGTAATCCTAGCTACTCAGGAGGCTGAGATCTGAGGATCACGGTTCAAAGCCAGCCCTGGCAGGAGAGACTGTGAGACTCTTATCTCCAATAAACCACCAGAAAACCGGAAGTGGCGCTATAGCTCAAGTGGTAGAGCGCTCGCCTTGAGCTGAAGAGCTGAGGGACAGCGCCCAGGCCCAGAGTTCAAGCCCCACGACTGACAAAAAAAAAACAACAATATTTCCCTTTTTTTTAAATTAAATGAAGTGTTTTGTTCTGAAATTGGCTTATATATTGATAGAGTAAGGACATTATCCACAGGTCTTTTTTATTTTTTTGGGTCCGGTCGTGGGGCCTGAACTCTGGGCCTGGGCGCTGTCCCTCAGTTCTTCAGCTCGAGGCTGGCACTCTACCACTTGAGCCACAGCGCCACTTCCGGCTTTTTTCTTTTTGCTTATGTGGTACTAAGAAATCGAACCCAGGGCCTCATGTATGCAAGGCAAGTGCTCTACCACTGAGCCACCTTCCCAGCCCTCCACAGGTCTTTTTAAAGACTTTTAAAGTCTTTTAAAAGCCTTAGTTAACATACATTAGTTGTACAAGGGGGAGGGGGAATTCCGATGTGACACTTCCATACGTGCCTATAGTTTTCCTCAATCCTTTTCTCCCTTTTAAAACAATTTCAACAGGTTGTTCCGTTTTCAGACATGTACATAGAGTACTGCCCATAATTCATTCTGTAATCAGTGAGATTTCTTAGTCCATCTTCCTACATGCATGAAATGTATTTTGGTATTAACCACTCATTCTCTTTCCTGCTCTGCCCTCCTGTTTAGCCAATCAAACAATACCATAGTTAACAATCAGGTTTTATGTATGTATGAATGTATATATATATATCTTTAATTCTAGATTCCCAAAGTCTAGATTTAAGTCTAGATTCCAAAAACAAGTGAAAACATTTGGTATTTGGCCGCCAGTGCCTGGCTTATCCTGTTTTCTTTAATGGCTGACCTACTTATATATTCTCCCTCACAATGTGTGAGGGTCTCTTTTCTCCACACCCTTACTTATCTCTCATCTTTTTTTGATCACAGCCCTTCTGACAAATGCGAAATATGATACAGCTCCTTGGGGTTTTAACTTGATTAATGATATTAAATATTTTTCCTATGCCTGTTAGATACTTTTTAATCTTCTTTTGAAGACTCCCTATTCAGGTACTTTGCTTCTTTCTGAATCGTGTTGTTTGTGTTTTTGCCTTTGAGTAGTTTTAATTCCTTGTTTATCTTGGATATTAACTTCTTACCAGAGTTGCAAATACTTTCTTTCTGATTCCGTAGGTTGTGTCTTCACTCTGTTGATATTTTATCTTTATTTTTTTTCTCTGCTATATGTTTTTGAATAGCCTGTCATTGAGTTCACAGATTCTTCTGCTTGATCAATTCTGATGTTGGTGATCTGCTGTGTAGATTTAAAAATTTTAAGTGTATTTTTCAGTTGTAGAATTTCTTTTTGAAAAATAATTTCAACCTCTGAAAATCTTATTTATTGTTTTTTAATTTTTTCTCTTTTTCTGGTCATCCTGGGTCTTGAACTAAGGACATTGTGCTTGCTCAGCTGGCTTGCTAGAATGGCACTGTACCACTAGAACTATGACTCCAAACCAGCTTTTTGCTGGTTATTTTGAGGTGGAGTCTCTTGGACTTTTCTGCCCTTGAATTGTGATCCTTTGGATCCTGAGTAGCAGGATTGTAAGAATGAATCATTGGTTCCCAAATTGTTTTTCTGATTGTGTCAATGGTTTCTCGATATTTTTATAATGCTCTTTGATTTTTCATAAAAAGGTTTTTGAACTCTTTTTTACATAGTTCATAGATCTCCATTTCTTTAGGGTCAGATATTGTTGGTTTACTTTTTCCCTTTGGTGCTTCTGTCCTTGGTTTTATATGTATGGTATATTAAAATACCCACTAGAGGTCACTATTGGCTTTAACTTTCTATTCTCACTTTCCAGTTAGAACTTTCAGTGCTTCAAATACTCTTGTATTAGTTTTTCCTGGAGTACATATATTTAGAAAAATTTGATACATTCTGGGAAATCTATGTCTTCCAGTAAGATTTCTATATTTATGTATTAAAATGTTTTACATTCTAAGTCTTACTTACACTACAAAAGAGTTTTGAGAGGTTATGACAAACTGATATTTGAACACTTTTTTTTGTTCAGTCATGGGGCTTGAACTCCAGGCCTGGCCACTGTCCTTGAAGGTTTTTTGTTGTTGTTGTTGTTGTTTTCCCTCAAAGCTAGCACTCTACCATGTTGAGCCACAGTTCTACTTCTACAGAGCTATGGAGCTTTTCAGGTGACTAATTAGAGATGAGTCTCACATACTTTCTTTCCCTAGCTGACTTCGAACTGCAATCCTGTGATCTAAGCATCCTGAGTAGCTAGTACTACAGCCATGAGCTACCACTGCCCCATAGGAAATACCTTTAATCTAGTCTTTGCTTCTATAATATCATGTAAATGTTGAATCATTAACTGGTTGGAAAAGGGATCTTATTGGTAGTTATAGTTCTTAGAATATTTATATTTCTGTATAGTGACCACATGGCCTGATGAGACCAGTAATCCTGTATATTATCTGGTGATAATGTGGATTGTTTTTGTGAAGAACTTGATGAGCATACTGATTTTCTGTTTTCATTGAGGAACCATCTGTTTTGAACGTTGTTTTAAAATAATGGTGCCTTACCCTTTGTTGTTAATAACATGAAGGATTATTATAGATCTGTGTATGTAATTTATTCTTTTTTTGTAAGTTAAATAAATAACAGGTAGTATTTTTAAAGGAAAAGATGAAGCAGATCAGGACTTTTTTTAGCCTTAATCTACCATAAAATCAGCATTATTTCTTTGTCTAATTCAGATACTAAGTCAAGTGATTAAAATACTGTGGACTTTTCTGAGATTTTGGAGCAGTTATTTCAGTAGTTACAGAATTGATTGAGAGGGAAATGCACCTAGATCTTTTTACATTTTCCACAGATTGTTGCTCACTGAAAGGAGAGTATGCATTGAAATTTTAACAGTTTTTCTTTGTGTTAAAAATTTTGAGTTTGTTTGCTTTAAATATTCTAAATGTTTATTTTCTATAATTTTATTTTTGTTTTGAAGTATCTTAAAAAGGTTAAAGGTTTGAAAAGTGAATGCTAGGTTATTTATCTTAAAATTGTGATTTCTTTTTCATATTCCTTTTACTTCATATTGTTTACTTACATATTGTTTCTAGATCTTTGTTGCCTGTATTAAAATCTCTGTAAAGGCGTCGGGCCCTTTCTTTAATAGTGTGGAGTGTATTTTATGTGTATGTGCGTGCATGTATGTGCATGCACCAGTCCTAGGACTTGAACTCAAGGCCTGGGTGCTGTCCCTGAGCTTTTTGCTCAAGGCCAAGGCTCTACCATCCA